TCAGATGTAGCAAGGAAGGCAAGGTTATAAAAATCATGCTGGAAGCCCTTTAACCATACAAGGTTGGGAAAACAGATTTCTGCTACTCATGAGAAGGGGAGCTACAGACTATGAAAGCAAAAAAGTTTAATGTTTATTGCCTCTTTTTGCTTCCATCTGCTAGGATCACCTTCACAGCCGTAAAAGCTGGGTGCCACAAGAAATGGAAACCATTTTTTTTTCTACAGAACGGGGGCTTAAACTGAAGCAGGAGAATTCTAGCTTGGATTTTAGGGAATGCAAAGGAAAGTATTAAATCAGCCATGTTGCAGATTTGCAAAAATATTAGACAATGACCCTCAGGTTAAGGCATATCTTATTCTTTACTCAGGAAGGTTCACTACAGGCTTGTTTCCTAAAATTTTTAATTCTGTATGGAAGCAGATGAACTAACATTTGTAGACAAATTTCTCAAACTCTACTGTAAGTCAGTTTACAATCCATATATAACTGTAGTCTAAGGCAGGTCAAACAACATGTCTCCATGCTTGACTGTCACTAATTTTGCAAAGATCTGGATTGCAGTTTAAATATAAAGCTTACAGAAACTTTTAAGATATTTATTCACAGAGTTCATCTGTGACTCTGTAGTCCATATTTAGTCATCCATAAATCTATCAGATTTTTAGTTTTCAAAATCAAATGAAGTCTGGAAGTAAATAAATATGGAGAAGGCACTGAAGTCTGCAATAAACACAGAGATTCAAAATAATACAGGAGGGAGATTTTAGTCAGGAAAGCACTGCTTTTGTGTTTGCATGCACGTCTGTTTTTGGGTATGTATGTGTGTGTATGCAAAAAATGTCCAGATGGGCAAAATAACAAGCTATTGAATTAAATTATGCTTTATATAAATTATGTAGTAAAGAGTTTGAAATAAAACTGTTCATCCATATTGAGGTCTCTACATTTCCCATCTAAGACTATACTCAGCATCTATGTATTATCTATCTATCTATCTATCTATCTATCTATCTATCTATCTATCTATCTCATCTATCATTTTTCAGAAATGCTTATGCCTAAAAGGTCTAACATTACTTAATGAGATGTCAAAGGAAAAGTTTGAGTGGAATTTGAGTATTGATACAATGTTAGTTACACTAAGAACTGAAAGATGAGGAGCTATATAACCCTAGTTGTAACTGTGTTGGTCTAAAATCATAGCTAGTTTCCTTACAAGGGCTGGGAAACATAAGTTAGCTCTCTCTCAGAAAGGACCTGAACTGTTAAAAGGACAAGGTGCTATTCTTCTGACATTTATTTACTAAATAATTACCTGCACTAGAAGGGAACAAGTTAAACAACCAGCAGAATGGGGCTGGTTTTGAAGTGTAACAAGACCACCATTTCCCCACCAGTGAAAAAACTGAGAAATAAAAAGTACTAAAGGATGTGTTGTCAAGAGTGGTGAAGGAAGACAGACTGCAATTAACCGAGATGGAACATGTCCAAGACAGAGGCCCAGCAAACTCAAGTGGTCAGAGACACTAAGTGCTGCTCCATGCTCACAGGAGCCCCACCCAAAGCAAGTCTTTGTCAGGGCCAAATGACAGTCACGGTTTCCTGTAGCAGTTGATGTCTCCCACTCATCAACTGACCCTGGTTCAGACCCAGCTGCCTCATACACGAGATCCGGTGAGATTGGAAGGTTATTGCTGCAAGCAATTTTGAAGTGCTCATCAGGAAAATGCAAAATGACTGAATGCCTGTAGCTTGGAGGGAGCAGGGCTATTAATAGAGCCTCTGCCAACTGATAAAAGAGATATGGGTAAGCTTAAACAAGTAGACAGCAAAAAGAAAATATTTTTAAGAATGAAAGAGAGAATTCACCACAATGACTTAAACTAAATCCTCGGAATATCAATGTCAACAACCAGGTCTAAATTTTGGAAAGGAACCAGGCCTTCACTTAAATCACTCAAGTAAGGTCATATGCTTCAAGGTGCTAACCTCTAATGGTCACTAAAATGGGAATAAATGACTGAATGATGGATGTTCTCTGTGCACTAATACCCAATTCTCTGTGAAACCATTTTCACACTTGAGGTCAATATGGTGAGGTTACTCTCTCCAGTTGACTATTGATCTTCATAAATACATTTGTGCTGCACACTGACTATGGCAGAGTAGCTACTAAAAGGACACCTAGTGGTAAGTGAATGAGTGTGCCCAGAAACCACTGGCATTGCTGAAGGTGTGCCACTGTGATTGGCATGGGAATGCTGACCTGTTATGGGTCACATATGAACTTAATGTGTCAAGTAACACTACTCTTTTTTTTTAATAGCAAGTAATATTCTTAAAAGCATCTTTTAAAAATCTGAAATTTAAGCTTAACATCCTCAAAACTCAGAGAATAGGGTTTTTTTAAAACAAACTATGCACAGTACTCTCCGTCGCACACTACAAAATTGAATGTACTGAATCTCCACTGCATCCATTTTAGGAATACTGGATAGCTGAACAGAACTCATTACAAATATGTTTTACTTGATATTCAAGCCAGATTTCATCTTGGACATCATCATTCCTTGGTTCCTCCACTGTGCCACTGTAAAATATCCTGAGCAATTCCTTTTGTTCTTGTCTTTTCCTCTTATGAAGACAAACAGCTGGAGAATATAAATTGAGCTGACTTTAGTTTTTTGGGTGTTGTTTGTTTGTTTGTTGATTTTTTTTTTTTGCCCATGCAACTTTATAGTCACTTCTTGCCTGTGTTTATTCCAAACCCTTTAATACGTACTAATGCCCTTGTGACCAGGAGATGCCCACAACAGAAAGCTCTATTCCAGATGGAGTCATGCTGGTCTCATGCAGAGAGGGATTATAACTTTCCTGTGTAGTGACATGCTGCCTCTGGGCAAACAGACCAAAATCCACACTTAGCTTTCTTGTTTATGTCAACATACCGTATTACAGGCATGGAACAACTTGTTGACCACTGTCCCTCTTCAGTTATTGTTTTTATGTTCTCTGTTCCAGGTTTGTCTTTTCTATTGAACACCAGTTTCTTTGGATTAATTTTCCCTGAGTGAATTAGTACAGATTTACTAAGGCATTTTTCCAGATACGTTTTTTTATCCAATTTTCTAACATCTCTGTATGCCACTAGTCTGTTCTCTGTCCTCAGAATGTTTATAAGCTCCCAATTTAGTGTCATCCTTTGATTCAAAAAGCCACAAACAATCCATTTCTGCTCTTCTATCCTCTTTCATCACAACAAAATTGAAACGGTGGTATGAATATGCTTGTTTGCTCTTTTAGGTGACTTGCTGCTAAAGTTTTTGCTTAAAAAAACCCACAAACAAATTCTGCTTTTTTTCTCCACAATTACAAGTAAGTACATCGTGATGTTCATGAGGGATACGGCAGATTCTGCCCTTACCCAGACATTTGCAACCATGTCTCACTCAGCTTAGTTTCCACAGCTCACCTCTCCTCCACTCCACCCTTCTGAAGCTCCAGCCTGCTCTCTTGTCTTAAAATGGCATGTAGTTTCCTTCCTTTACTATAAACAATGCTTTCTGTAACCTTAGTTTCGTGATGTAAACATTTAAAAATAAGAATGAAGGGAACAAAAACTATGTGCTCAATTAGGTAATTTGGGGATTAAATTAAATGAAATCTCTCAAAACATGGAACACAGAATATTTCAACATAATGCAGCCTGGCTTTACTTGTTGTCTTTTTATCTCATCCCTTTAAGAAAAGGAGACAATGGACCTTAGAAACTCTGGCAGAAGAGTAGTAAAGGCAGCTGAAGAGATATTATTGCTTGTGAATGCAAGAGAAATGAAAGTCAGACTTAGAGGAAGAGGCCACAGCACTCAGGTACATGTTTAAAGAGTAAGAGAGGTACTCTGTAAACTGCAGGATGCTGGAGGCTGGGCAACCACCTGCCACAGCTGACATGGGAGGCTCTTGCTATCAGTGATATCACTTTTGTAATCTCATGTCAGCCTCCTAAAATGCCCTGCAGCCTGCCAAAGTCTCTTCAAGATGGCATTTCTTTTATACTAAAATGCATTTTAAAAGCAAGAAGGCAACCAACTGATATTATTCTTTGGTTTAATCCAAAAAAAGAAAAAAATATATAAAGGATCATCATAAGGAGTAGTAACAGGAAGAAATAATAAAGAGTAATAAAGGAAAAATAATGTCTGTAAAAATACTTCTGTTTATCTTTGCAGTCCACTTGTAAGTTTTGGTCAACTATACTCCTTCATACTCAGGACTTTTTTCTTTTTTTTGAGAACAATTCTAGAGAGAATTTCCATTATTAAATCGCTAATCCGGTTTTGCTCTTGTGAACTTCTCAGCAACAGAAGAAACTCAAAACATATTCAAATTTAGAAGAATTCTTTTTACGTGCATCTGAAAACACACATTTGGCTTTCACTTTGTGGTGTGCCAGACAACTATACAAGCGAAGCACAGCCTAGTACAGTTTTATTCAGCACTTTAAACTTTGAATCTCTCTTGTCCTGAAAGACAGTGATCATTTTTGCTTTTCAAGTGAACCCATTTCCTCCTGACATACAGCAAACATAGGTTATGCAGCAGTTGCTTGACTTTCACATCGTATTTAAATTGGTGTTTTGAACTTTCATAGTAACAGCTTCAAATAGAGAATTCAAACTATAACAGGTATTACATTTGCCCCAACCTTCTTTCCCAGTTTAGTGATTTTACAGTTGTGTTTTCCCATTTTCATCAGCCTGCTGATGAAAGATGGATATTATCCCACTATTTGGTGAAAAGCACACAAACTACATAAGAGAAAATGAATGGAATTTCCAGTGCAACATCCTATGCACAAAATAAGGTCAGTAATAAATGTTTTCCCCCTGCCTTTATCAATATAATACCATATGTTACTTTTAATCAGGATTAGTACAAAGCAGCAATAAATTAGAAGGCTACTTTTAGTGGGATGCTGAGATCTTAAGGAAACCTACCTTGAAAGAAACTTTTGACTCGGAGATAGCTGACACTAAGGCGCAAGACAGAAAGTTTGTCCAGCTTTGATACGATGTCAGGTGGAAAAGGAAGGAGGCTGGCCAGGTGGTCCAGTTCTGCATTCAGACGGTCTCTGTGTCTCTTCGAAGGATTTGATTTTTCATTCCCAACTGCAGGCCTTCTGTGGTGGAGAACACATTTTCAATTACCTGTTTTTCTTCCAGGGACTGGGTTGTTCTATGCAATTAATTGATAACAGTAATACTGTGCTTAGCTTTAAAATCTTTAAAGTCTCTGTCATCTGACAAAAAAAGATTTACCATTCTGCATTTGCCATGGTGCAAAGACACAGGCTATGTCTTCTCTTTTCATATCAGGCAAAAAGTGAAGAACTGGTATCTTTTACTCAGGACCTCTCACCTTAGGGAAGTGGGTACTATTTTCATGTTCTAGTCAATACCAAGAAAAACAATTTCTCATCTTTGTTGTATAAATGAGGGGCAGAAGAGCAGGGGAAATTACCGTGACTAATGCATGAACCCATTCAATACCCACTGTATTCATTCAAAGCATCTTAGTTCCCTCCATTTAATGACTCAAAGTTAACTTGTGGGTCAGGAGATTATTAAGAAAGAAGTCTGTCTTTAGACATGAGCTTAAAATGTATGGAAGGCAAGGTGAAGAGAAATTCTTTCCTCAAGCTCAAAACTCCCGTGTACATTCTCACTTTTACCTTCCTACATCAGTAATAACAAAGATAAGAATTTGGTTTCTTGAGAAGATTGATATTCCTCACAAAACATAGAGATGAAAGTTACTCAGGTTTCTAGGCCAAGCAAGTCCATCCCCATTTTGTGTTCCTCTTATGTAATGGACAGTGTTAGAGAACCTAGAATAGCTGTTATGTAAATAATTAAGATGAGATACATGACAAATGTGGAACCTATGTTTTGGAATGTCCACTGATATTCCCGGAGAAGGTGTAAGATGCTCTCAAGGGGAGTAAAGGAAAAAGCTGGTGCTTTTGCACACAGAAATGGGGACCTTACTTCCAGCATGACAGTGGGGGGTGCTCAGTGCTGAAGGACAGTCTTTTCCATTAAGTGAGAAGCCCTGAGTGGGAAGTTGAGAAAGTTGTTCCTTTCAGTAGCCAGCTATTACTGGACCCAGCAGTAGTCAAGTGCATTATCCAGGCATGAGCTATGGGACACTGGAGCCACAAACTGCATGGATACTCAAGAATGGGAAACGGCAAGTAAGAAGACTATAGTTGTGCTCAGAGTTTTTACTTTCACCTCACTGAATCCAAGGATCATAATCTTAAGTAACTAGCTGACAGCAGACAATGAGAGTAAAAAATAAGTATTTGTCACACTTTACTCCTGCGTTTTCATGCTACACACATTTACTACATTTTTCAATCATAAGGTGGTTAAGGTGTTAAATTACATCAGTATTAATTTGCCATCACAGTTGTAATTCTAAAATAATTGTGCTTAGGAATTAGCAAAAAAAAAAAGATCAGTTTTTTGAAGAGCAGTTTTGTACATGTGACTGCTGCTAACTGAAAGCCTCTTAAAGCAAATCAGGTATGAAAAATTCATTGTTACTTTTGAGAACTTCACTTCAAGAGAACAGCATCAGTGGACAGAATAGATGGGAAAAAATTGAGTTATAAATAATTTTTTTTTCATTTCACTTAAAATACATAATTTCTGCTATTTCATTCAAAATTGCCAATATTTATATATGGTTCTTCAATAACACAGTAAGTTGCTTCCAAACACATGGAGAAGATTTTGCTGATTGGGATAAATGAACTACTTTCCTATATTAGGGAGAGGAAATATGAGAACAAATAATGCAATCAACAAAGCAGGAATAATGTTTCTTATTTTTTCTGAGCTAACTATTTTTTGCAGTAAACCTTGAGGCTCAGACATCCTATGGCACCGAAAGGATGTCTGATCTATGGAGGGCAGTAATTTTGTGGGAACATAGCCTACAGCTGAGCAGAAGCTAAAGAACATAAGCTTTGCTAATCGGTCTTTACATCTGACAAACCAGCTGAAGCAAGGAAGCAATGTAGGACAGAAGAAATTAATTCCAATAAGGAAAATTAAGCTGATGAGTTCAAGAGGTAAAAATTGCCAAGAGTAACATGAAATAGAAATAGAAGTTGTTCAAGTCTATTTATCACATAAAATAGTGACTGTTCTATCCCAGAGAAGAATGGTTTGAAGCAATTAGGTGGTCTGCCTTTGTACTGAGTACAAGGAATAGTTTTCAGAAGATGGTAGGGAATGGTGTAAAAAAGACTATGGGAGAAAGTTGAGGACAGAGTCTTCCTGAAAACTCAAGGAAATTATTCAGTAAGGGAGTGAATCCAAACAAATGGGTTAGATATAAATGGTAGTTAAGGTGCCAAGTGGATGTGATTTTAAACAATGTGAGTTCCATGGAAAGGCTCAGTTAGCTAGCCATAAACAGAAAGGCACAGGCAGGGGAAATCTTCAGTGGGCTGCCTTGAGGCAAATGAAAATTCTAGCCTTTATTTTGAGCTGAAAGTAGAGGGTGCTTGTTGTGTTCGTGTTAAACTCAGGATTGTCAAACTGTAAACACAGACATAGGAGACACTTGGTGATCCCTCATTTACTCTGCTTTCCATACAACACTGATATAGTAAAGGAGAACATGTAATTCAAGGAACAAATCTGGCTTTTCTTTCTTCACATTGTTAAACTGCCCAGTGGTCACAAGCACTTGTACCTGTGCAGGCCCCACATTAGCAGTCCCTGTGCAGTGGGAGCTGTGTGGGAGCTGGTGGGGAGAACATTTTGTGTTCTGGTGGTACACAAGGCGTTGAGCCCTGTTCGTGTTAGTGATTCAGTGTGCCCATGACACACAGACAGCCACTAGTGTAAACCAGTTTGGTGAGCTCGCAGAGGAATTTCCTGCAACTACAGCTCTGTCTGCTGCTCCCTACCCTCTGCAGAGCCCTACCCTGTTAATGAAAACTTTGCCCTGAATAGGTTTTATAAGTATGCCACAGTGTTAAACCAGCAGAAGACCTGAGCTGAAAAAGGTCTAATCATTTACCGTGACAGCAAGTTTTCAGTAGGAAGGGGAAGGGAAGAGAGACCATGAGATGCGACAGATAGGCTGAGAGCAAAGATAATTATCACAAGAGTACTGACCAGCACCCTCAGTCACTGAGCTGTCCTTGGACATTGTATAGGAATTTTGGCAGAGCCGAGCTCCAGTGGCAGCCATAGGTGTGTGTGGATGTTCACCATGTCCTTTGGACCAAAAGGACAGAATGAGAGAAAGCTGCTTGAAGAAAAGGCAGCCCTTTGCCACCTTCTATGTCTCTTCTGCATCTTGACAGCAAGGAAAGTTGAAAGCAGAACTAATGGTCAAGAAGACATAAGAAGACCAGCAGAACAGATGAGAGGTGGGATAGTGTGGTACCAAGTAAGAGGAAGGGCTATGCCACAGAAGGCTTTAAAATTAGAAGTAGGAAGCAGGAGAGAGCTGCACCTCCCAAGGTCTCTGTTTACCCTGGCACTGGCACAGTTCTGGCTGAAGTGGTCGTTCTGGAGCAGTTATAGATACACTCAGAGCTAGGACAGGTGTAGTTGCCATTAAAGAGCTGTAAAACATTACAAGAAATGTTTTGTAGAGGGAGAGGGTTTTACAAGATGCCAGGGTTTGAGATGAAGTAGTGGCTGAAGTTCTCAAATGGTAACTGTCCTGAAGCATTGCATAAGTATTAATTTCAACACAGTGATTTTAGCTTGAGGTTAAAGACAAGATCACTTTAATTTCCAGATGCTTGAATTACCAGTAAAATGTTAGATTTCCACAGGAAATAAACACTTGGTAGAAAATGTTTCCTTTAGTCAAAATGCCGGCTGCCTGGCTGAAAAGCATATCTGATGGAAAATTTTCAATCTGTCTGAGCTCCAGGTGTTTGACCTGTGTCCATAAACACCAGAATTCTTTAGTGTAGAATGGGGCTAGTTTAATGGGGCTTGTTTAGATGGTTTTGGGCACAAAAGGAAAACAGCTATGTTCTTTAAATTTTCTTGCATATATAAAAGGAGGACCTGAATCTTATATGCTACCTGAGGAATGGCAAACTAATGAAGATAACCTCTGCTAGTTCTGTGTAGAAAGCAAGACTGAAACATATTAGCTCCTCCCAGTAAAATTTTCCACACATTCTTCCTGAGTCTTGTGGGTCTCTGTATTCTCCCATGGAGCTTTTTTATACATTTTCATCACTGTTCTATAAAACCACCCCAGAATAAAATTCCTGTGCCTGAAAAATATTAATGAACATAATGAACAATATCATTCTGTGATATCCTGGATTAAAAGCCAGCTGCAGGATCACCACCTGGTTGACAGTCTGATCATGAAAAGACTATGTAGAGTCAGAGAGTTAGCTTCTTGGGATGCACTGAGTAAGGGGAGACATAAGTGTCCCAGTTCTTCTGCAGAGAGAAAGCTGCACCTCTGTCCTTTAAATTCTGACCTTCAAAAGCACTAATCCAAGAATCCCTACTGAAATCCAAGTATCCTGCTCACACCAAGGCACCTGAGCTGACTTATCTTTTTGTTAAAAGAAAGGTAAATTCTAGAGACTATTTGCATTAAAAAGAGAGGACTAGCCAAAGAACACCCATCAACTTTACTTTCAATGGAAAATCAGGTTTTACAACTGAAAAAATACTCCTCCCAGAACAGGTGCCAGTATCTACCTTGATTCATTGGCAGGATGGTAGGGGAGAAAGTACAACAAGACTGTGAAGGAGAAAGTGTTGTGCTGTCAAACAGGAGAAAAAAGCCATAATAAAGATGGTACGACATGAATTAAAATAATGGTTGAATATGCTGCTCAATTAATAGACTTTGTCTACCCTTCTAAATTCAAGACAAATTATTCAAGGCAGCATGACAGTAATCTCAGAGTCCTGAAATGTCAGTAAGATCAGCAGGACTGAAAGACACAGACCAGGAAAGGAGCTCTGTCAGCCCGTCGGTCTGGGGCATTCAGAGCCTCTTTAGAGGAAAGTCCCCAAGTGAGGGAATAAGCACAGGAAAGGCTTAACAGAGACCAAGCCCACAAACAGATAAGGTTTGAGGAAGAGACCAGTGTTGCTAGGAACTGAGAAATCATCCTCAGCAAGTGGTAAGTAACTAACCACAGAAAATGGACTGCTGTCTCCAGTGTGAGACTTCAGTATTCTAACAATCCAAACTGTTCCCCTTGTTTTAACCCATGTTTCTTAATCAAAATTGTTCATGTCCTGGCTTGATAAGTTCATGCTCAGGTACCTGCACTGCAACATCATAAAAAAGCTATTTTTAAGGCAGCATTACCTGCAAGATGAAAACTTGATTGTATAAAGTAAATGAGAATTTTCTTCTGAAAGTATTAAAGCCAGAACTTCCAAAAAGGCTAATGAGGTCATTTCCATGATTTGTTGGCAGGTAGTTTTCTTAGCCATTCATTTATCTAGAAGTCATCTTTGAGAGGAGTTCTAAACAGCATGTAGACTCCAAACATAAGCTTAATGTTTCTCAAAGCAACTGCAAGTCTCCTTCCTTCTTCACAAAAGTAATGATCCATAAACAGTTCTGCATAGAGGTAATTTAATGTACTGGAAATGTTCCATCCCTCTTGCAATTGTTATCAAATCAAATATCCACATCCATACTGAAACAGTAGTGCAGATATCTTACATACATTTTGAATTCAACACTCAGGATTTTTGCAGGAAGAATGATTTGTTTATGCCATTATCTTTGTCTATTGAAATATGATAAATTTAAACTAAAAGAAACAAAATTTTAAGTGGGAACAAGTGGTTCATGAGCAAATACTGCCTAAAATCCAAACAATATCAACAATATTAAAACATTCAGAGAAAGTCCCCTTTGATTTTAGACGAATATGTACAATTTTAAGCCAAGTGGGTTATTTTTAGAAGTTCACAACAACCAAAACCAGGGAAATCTATTTTAGTTACCTTCTCATCCTTAAATTGTGCATGAAGGCCACCAGTGCCAGTTTATAATTTTAACACAGTAAAAATGTTTGTTTCACAATCATATAATCAAGTGTAACACAGAAAATATGGGATGATTACATTAAAAAGCTTTATTTCATAGATTGGCTTATGGCATCTGGAACTCATTTACATTTGAGTGATAGCAACCTCTTTTTTCCCCCCTCCCCATTTCAAGCATCTTGTAGTAACAAATTTCCATTGCATTTCTTCTTTTCCTGCTTTGCCTTCACATATACAATTCCTCTCTCCCATTTTTCTCCTAATGAAAGTGATCCCATAGTAAACAGAAGTCTGAAAATGATGTGTTCTCTATGCAAAAAGAGACTCACCAGTCTGCTCTTTCACTTGGCTGAACTGACCCACTTTCCTGGCTCGCTCATGTTGGACTTAGCAATGCCCCAAGCAAGGCTAAGCCCAGCAAAGGGGAAGGGGGGAGTGCAATGCCAGTGCTCTGGTGCCACTCAACACATGGCTTCTCAAAAAGCTCCTGGAACAGCCAGCAGGGAGCACGGAAGCATCAAGGTGGCAACCACCCCTCCAACCCAGTGGCCAGCTGACATTTAGTCCACTGGTTTGTTCTGCCTACGGAAGGCCACTGTCCCTCTCCACTGTCCACAGCAGCGCCGTGGTACCCACCCCAACCACCACTGGCCTCCTCCTGGGATGCCCAGTAATGGGTGAGGATGGTTTGAGCCAGGCTTGGCATCCTCCCTGGAGACACCTTACCCATGAAGAGCCAGCCTCCCAGCCAAGGGCTTCTCATTGCTGAGAAGATTAGGTCTCTCCTATGTCAGTGGACCATAGGAGGAAGGGAGCCCTTCTTCTACCTCATTTCTAGCCCATATGTTTGGAGGGAGATGCCTCCTGATGAATATGATACTTAACTGTTTTTGAATGGGTTTCCTCCTTTTCCTCCCAGCATACAGGCATTCCCCCGGAGGAATCATGGCTTTGACACTGAAAAACAAGAGGAATAGGTTTCTTAGTTCAGAGGTTTCTGTGGTTCAGGCTACTGTACAAAATGACAGAACTGAGAAAATTCTGCCAAGGAAAATGTTTGTTCCTTGAGTGTGACATTCAGCAACACTACAAAGCATGGTGGCATTAGTGAAGATAGAAGCTTATGGCTTATTCAATTTCCTACCCTAATATTATTAAAATATTGATGTTTATGTTCAATTTTCATTTTTTCCAATTAAGTATACTATGTATGATATAAAATGGTTATAAAATACATCCTGTTTACTGGATATCCATTTTTTTCCCCTTCCCAGCTCATTTCTAAATTCAGCTAAACAAATAAGAATGAATAATACTACCCATCATCTGCAGGGAGGATTTCACAGCTTTTAAAATACACAGGAATATTATCTCCATTACTGACATTGTGACTAGTAGGTTGCAATTATTCAAATCAGCATTTCTCCAGATCCTCACATCCTCATTTTTAAAGGCTGGAAACATAGCTGTCGGCAGCTCAAGATGTGACACACGGTTTTGTGGTTAGCACTAAGACCAAATGTAGTGCTGACTGAGGTGACAGCTTTCACACAAAACTTGGTCTTATTGATTTATTTGAGTATCTTAGCCCCAGAGATATTGCAGGGTGGGAAAAAGTCTTTGCATTCAGTCTGTTTAAATCTTTTGGAGATTAGCTGAATATCAAAGTCTCTTGATTTTCTGTCTGAAAGAATATTTTAGTCATGCTGAGTGCTATTTAACAGTGGATGCATGTTAACAGAGAGGTTAGTGTATCTCAAGAATAATTCTGTTTTGTGTAAGATGTAAAATTAAAAGGAACTTCTATGTCACTGAATCAAATCCCATGCTGGTGAACATGTGTGTCATGTAAAGCAAATCATAAACTTGCTGAGCTTAATTAAAAAACCCTTTAGAATGGCTTTCTTTTTCATTGAAAGACAGCTTTCTGATAACTAGAAACCTTTCGCCTTCCAGCTTAAATTTGTTCATGGTCATTTTATGCCCATTTGTTCTTCTGCCAACATTGTCTTTTAGTTTAAATAGCTCTTCCTCCTCCATTGTGTTTACTCATTGGCATATTTTTAAATATCAGTCATATCTTCAGTCAGCCTTCATTTTTCTATTCTGGGACAACCCAAACTCTTTTATTTTCCTCTCATGTTACAAACTGGTTTTTTTCTTCCTGTCAATTTAGGAGAAAAGAAGTGAGCCCAGTTTATTAAGCAAAATCTAAAATGTGTTTCATACATGCAAGCACAGCATCCTTTACTAAATTGAGATACCTTAGGTCTCCTGTGTTTCCCTCATCTGGAAAATCAGTTATTCTGTCAACAGGCAGCTAGCAGGTTAATTTGTCAAAATTATTTAAATCTACATTCCGTTTTTACTCCAACTAACTACAGCTGTTATTTGTTCTTTCCTTCTGAGAATTCTAAATTCTAAAATTATGCGTAATATAGAGATTAGACTAATTGTCTTCTCTCAAACGCAGGTTATGGTGGAAGCATCAGTCATTCTCCAGTTGGTGCAGAGTGTCAGGCATTAGGTTCTTCCAGAAACAGGACCATATTTTCCACTATTACTGGAATAATTTCCTGTGATGTCAGATGGGTGAACTGCCTTTCCAAAGCTGATGAGGGATATGATACTGCACAATAAATACTGCTGCAGGTTAAGATTATGCCACAGCCTTTGCTTGGATTAAGCCTTCTTGCCATCTTTAAAGACCTTGCTAAATAGGTTTAATCTGCAAGTTCTTTTTTTTTTTTTAACAGTCTGCCAGTTTTTAAGATTACATCTACCCTAACAGGTTTCCTCCTTCAGCTGGAAGCTAAAGTGGTGTGGAGATGCCAAAAGAACTGCAGTTTCTTTTGAAACCTTACATTAAAATCTATTTTCTTTGTATTTGTGGTGGATTGACACTGTCTGGATACAAGGTACCACCAAACTCACCCTACCACTCCCCTCCTCAGCAGGACAAGGGACAGAAAATACAACAAAAGGCTCATGGGTCAAGATAAGGAAAGGGAGAGATCACTCACCACTTACTGACAAAACAGACTGAACTTGGGGAAATTAGTTTGATTTCTTACCAATCAAATAAGAGCAGGGTAATGAGAAATAAACCACAAATCTCAAAAATATCTTCCCCACACCCTTCCTTTCTTCCAAGGCTCAAGTTCAGTGCATTTTCTCTACCTCCTCCCCCTGCAGCAGCACAAGGGGATGGGAATGGAGGCTGTGGTCAGTTGATCACACTCTGTCTCTGCCACTCCTTCCCCCTCAGGGGCAGGACTCCCCACACTCTCCCACGAACTTCTCCAACACGAGTTCTTCCCACGGGCTGCAGTTCTTCACAAACTGCCCCAACATGGGCCCAGCCCTTCAGGAACAGGCTGCCCAAGCATGGGTGCTCCTTGGGATCACAAGTCCTGTCAGCAAACCTGCTCCAGTGTGGGGTCCTCCCTCCATGGATCCACAAGTCCTGCCCAGATCCTGCTCCAGCACAGGCTTCCCATGGGGTCACAGCCTCCTTCAGGCACCCACCTCCTCTGGAGTGGGGTCCTGCATGGGCTGCAGGGACAAAGCTGCCTCACCATGGGCTGCACCAGGCACTGCAGGGGACTCTGCCCTGGTGCCTGGAGCACCTCCTCCCACTCCTTGTTCCCTGACCCTGATGTCTGCAAGGCTGCTGCTCTCAATCTTCTCACTCCTCTCTGACTGAAGTTGAAGTTTTGCAGGCTCCTTTCCCCCTTCATCAACACATTATCCCAAAAGTGCTGCCCATCTTCTCACTCTTCTCTCTGACTGAAGTTGAAGTTTTGCAGGCTCCTTTCCCCCTTCATCAACACATTATCCCAAAAGTGCTGCCGTCATTGCTGATGGGCTCAGTCCCAGCCAGCAGCAGGTCTGTCGTGGACCTGCTGGACTCAGGGGAGCTTCCAGCAGTTTCTCACAGAAGCCACCCTTGTAGACCCCCACCCCAGCCAGCAGCAGGTCTGTTGTGGACCTGCTGGATTCAGGGGGAGCTTCCAGCAGTTTCTCACAGAAGCCACCCTTGTAGACCCCCACTACCAAATCCTTGCCATGCAAACCTAATTCATTATTGTAATACTTTCGTGTTCTGATTCCTTCCTGTCCATAATATGAATCTATGACTCATAGTTCATGTTTCAAAACAGTGTCACATGCTAGACTTCCCTTCTCTTGCCTTCATGAACATAGTTAGAAGGAGGAGAAAGGCTTGAACAGCATAATTCAACTGAAAACTGAAAGCTAAGAGTTCATTCAATTTCCCAAAAGGGTGACTTTGTTTTAAAACCCATTCTGGATCAGTTGATTAATATGTGACAGCAAATAAAAATAACTAAAAAGACCTCAGTATTCAAACTGAAAACCAGGAAATAAATAGCAAACAATATGAGCTAGAATTTATGGAGTGCAAAATGCTAGTTAAGAAAGATAAAGGCCCAAAGGAAAATTCACAAATCACAGTGCTAGAGACAAAAGATAGTGTGCCATTTGTGAGAATATTATGAAGAAAATAATTCTAAAAACTGTATATGGTTCTAATTAGATGGAGATGGCTTTATATTAGAACTGCATAAAAGGTAAGAGTGCTTAACAGTTTTATTTCTAGTCTCTGAAAAGAAGGAGAACCGTGCACTCCCATCAAACAAGAATTAACCATGCACTCTTCAGGCTTTCTACAAGAACTTTCTACAGAATTAGAACAAAGGGTTACCACAGCAACGTGGTATGAAGCACTGCCCCAGCAACTGAGCACCAATGTCCTAGATACACACACAGCCGAGAGATGCTTCTGCCACTACCACTAACGCCAGTAGTGGCATGTGGTTAAAATGAGTCTGAGAATTCATGGACAGGAATACAGAGTCAGAAAGTTCATGGCTAATGGTCCTAAAAATATGTCTGAAAACAGCACTTGAATTTGTTGAGTTGCAAAGATCCATAAACCTTGACAACATCTATTTTAAAAACTGGAGAAGAGCATGTATTCACAATCCTACCTGCACTGTGCTTTCTTCTGATCACCTGTGAACTCTTCTCTCTACCCTAGGACAGAACAGCCCATCACCACCACTGAAGGAGGCTGGGGGCTCCTTCCCCTGCCACCTGTCTCATGTGGATGAAAAACAGGAATAACTTGGGTGGACAGCACTCAGCTGCTCAGAACAGTTGTGCTCTTTGCTTTCTCCCTACAATGCTTGAGAGCCCTCACATTGTCTCTATGTGCTTGAGGTAGGATGGGTACAGACCCAAAGAAGCAATCTTCCACCACTCCAGCAGAAAGAAAGGGGGCTTACAAGCTTGAGGAACTTCAGGACGAGGAGACCTGGGACCAAAAGGATCAGAATTGCTAGAAAAGGGTAAATGTGGACCACAATAATTTGCTTCTGTCAGGTGCTTGTAATCACTACTGAGATTAAGTCACAACGAATCTCTGAACACTGAGGAGGATCGCTGAAGGACTCAAAGACAGCTGCTATATGATAATATTCAGAGAGGGAAACATAATGATCCAGCTATCCACCAGATGGCAAGACTGATGTCCATCCCAAGCAAAATACCAGAAAAGAAAGATGAATTACATCACTTAGCAGAATTCTATGGAATATCATGCTCTTTGGAGTGAAACTCACTGAGAAGTTATCACCTCTAGCTGACAGAGGAGTTCACTTGTATTAGTAACTTAAGTTAGCAGCACAACATTCTGCTTTTAAAAAGGAAGCATTACAGTGCACAATTTCCACAAGTAAATAATCTGTCAAGTGACAGAATAAAGAGAAAAGTAGTCATAGAGAAATCACTACTAAATAGAAGAAGTTTTATAAAGACCTTACAGACATTGAGGTTCAATACAAACTCATTGGCAATAATATTTACAAAGCTAGAAAAAATTAGAAGCTCGATAAATAATGCTGAAGACACAGTGAAACAGAGC